AATAGTTGTGTATCAATGTATGAATTCATATTAAAGAAACGCCATCTTTATATGTACAGCATGTGCTTCAACACAGAGGTCATTAACATCATCCAAATACACACAGCAACATCTCTCCTATCCACAGCCCCATGCACAGCTCCACTCACCCAGACACTGAGACCTGCCACATGTATGCTGTTTACCATTCATCACCCACCCTCTCTCCATCTCTCCCTCTCTCCCTCTCTCCCTACACACAACACTGCTTACCATTCCACTACACTGCCTCACAAACATACACACAGATTTGCATGCAAGCACACACACACACACACACACACACACACACACACACACATACAAACGCATGCAAGCAAAAATACATGCATACACACGCACACACCCATCCCAGTCTCTGCTGGCCTCCTTTCCCGGCCCAGTCCTGACAACGCTAATGATTCTCACTGAGGCACTGGATGATGGGTGACAGAGGCAGCCAGACCAGGGCTGAGGATGGGGGGTGGGAGTGGGGAAGATGAGGGAGTCGAGGGGGTCAGGGATGGTGGTTGGCCAGGGTCCTGCTTTCTGCATGGTGGAAGGTTGGAGGATGCTCAGACACAGGGAAGATGGTAATTTATTACATTTAAGACAGGCATGACACCCTGAATCAGCCTGCATTCAGATCACTGGCTGGGCGAGAGAGGGGGAGGGGGAGGTGGGAAGGTAAACACAAAGGAGGAGAATTGGGGAGCAGAGGAAATGGAGGAGAGTAGTAGGAAATAATGTGCAATGGGAGAATTTAGCCTCAGGCATGGTGCATGTTTTGCCTATTTCTGTATAGTTTGTGTATTTATAATTCAAATAGCCTTTATGCCTTTAATAATTGACCAGAATACAATATCAAAGGGTAGTGCGTGTATTGTTTTGCAAGAAGAAATGACCACATGATTAAGGCTATCTCTTTTTCTTCCTCACTCTGTTGGTAATGATGTAGATAAAAGTGAATGGTTGCTTTTCATTGCTTGTCAATATAATTATATAAAGATACTTTTTTTGTTGCTGGACTGTATTTTTGTTAGTTTTCTATAAGGTTATGAATAATATTTATTACACATAGCAATAGGCCTATTTTATTATACTATTTTTAACAAATGTAAAACAAAATATTGTTCACAAACATCGGGAGGCTTTTTTCCTTGAAACGCTAGATGGCAATGTAATTCAGTAATTTCATGAACCATTTCAGATCCAATTGATTTCATGAGTTGTCAACTTCAGAAGTTAGGGCAGGTTTATCGGTGTTGTGACTCCTAATTGGAGGAGCCTACATAACAGTCACATCGACTCCAGTAGGCATTCAGTTGGTAGCCATAGGACTAGCCTACAGAGCTTCAGAAAGCTGTGAGCACTCAGGCTTACATTTTTTAAGTGGACAGTCAGATATCATACAGTATGTCAGTGAAGTGAGGTAATGTTCTTGTTGACCAAAACCAATTATTTTAGTAGGCTAGCTACTTACCCAAACTCTTATACTGCGTTCATAACCAAGTGGGAAGTGGGAATTTACTACCATAGAGGTAGATACAGGACTCTAGCTGGATAAACCCATTTTGGCATGGACTTCTGACATCACCTATTAAGGAAATTACCTCGATAACAGCATTTTCAGCAGTTAAATGCAACTACCAAACTGAAAGGTTGATGGTTCGAATACCTGAGCCGACAAAGTGAAAGATATGTTGATGTGCCCTTGAGCAAGGCACTTAACCCTAATTTACTCCAGGGGTGCCGTACTACTATCTCTGACCCTGTAAAACAACACATTTCACTCCACATGTCCGGCGTATGTAACAGTAAAACATATTGGCTTTTTTTAAATAATGTTTTTTCTTAAAATAATGTATGTTTTTTTAACACTATAATTTGTATACAAACCTGATAGATGTACTTTTAGTTTATGGTTGACATAGCTTGTTGGCCATTAGCCAATCAGCATTTCTAAACGAGTTCAAAGCACATGAATACATCCAACTGGTATTTAAGACTTCACAACTGGTAAATTCCCACCTCCCACTTCGCGCTCAAGGATGACAGACAAGTTTCCCACTAGTAATTACCAGTTGAAGGGCCGTTCAAATAGATTTTTCCCAGTCCTATGTGGTAAACATAGAGAATAATAGAGACATCATCTTTGTATCTGTCCCATTATGGCCTCTGTGAGCGCACGGGCAGCGCCATTGAGGCCATCTCCATTTTGAAGTAGTCCATTTTCTTCTTCCACTACTTCTATAAGTTGGCATACAAAACAAAGGGTTTATATATACTTCCATCTAGAGTGTGTTATTTGAACAGGTATAAAGCCAAGGATGGTGACATACTGCCACCTACAGTTATGGAATGTTTTCTCACAAGTATAATTCATTGGCTGACCCCTCCAGATGACCTGGATGGAATCGTGTGACCTTCCTTCACCAATAGGAAGTCCCACCCAGTTGACTACTTTTAAATGGTGTACCCCTCACTGACAATGTCCATGCCAAAACAGGTTTTATCCATGTAGAGTCCTGTTCTATGGTGGTAAATTTCCACTTCCAATTTGGTTCCAGATGCAGCACTAGCCTGCAGGAGTCCTATAAGAGGGAACAGATATACCAAGATCCAACGTTTTATTTTTGTATTCCACATATTAATCGTTTTAAACAAACAAACAGAAGACATTTGGTCGTTTTCTGTTTTAAACATTGGAATCAAACAAATTCCTTCCTCCATAAGCTTAAGTGCTGGAACAAGATGGTGTAGGCCATATGATGTCATTATGTCAAGTTTGTATTACTCCAATGCACTTTATTTACATGTAATGTATTTCATTTCTAGGACTGTTCTTTATTAATAAAGCAAATATTTGTATTTTGTTATTTGGGTTTGTATGTACTGTTTAGGATTTAGAATTTTTTATCCTCAAGTAAATTATTTAGTAACACAAAATGCACATTTCATTTATAATTATTATAAACTAATTTCCAATTTTAATATGTATTATCATTAATTTTCCTATTCTTCAAAAACATTCATTATTTCCACCCTGCAGTCAAGTAGCCTACTAAAAATCGAAATAACTGTAAATATCATAGAGAACAGTAAGCCTATGTAAGCATAAGACATGCCTATTAATGCATTTCATAACTGCCAATGCAACGAAATATTTGTTCATGTCCAAATAATTTTAACTTGGACTAACTACACCTTACTTCCAAATCCGCATGTTTCATAATGTATTTCACCTGCAGTATTTGTCACAACAAAATCATAAGGCTATCTATATTTTTCTGTCCAGTACCGCTCTGTAAAACCTTTATGCGCATGTTGGTCCAGTAGACAAGTCTTGGTCGACAAAAAGAGGAGGAATGGAACGTCGAGAGACAGAGAGAATACGAGCCAACACGCCTACAGCTCGAGAGACAGAGAGAATTCGAGCCAACACGCCTACAGCTCGAGAGACAGAGAGAATTCGAGCCAACACGCCTACAGCATTCCCACAATCTCAAACACAACCTCTTCATACACTGACCACAGTACACATGTATGGTGTCTGTAGCCTGAACTCTGTTTACAACTGCATTGTTATCCAATCCTGGCGCTAGACCGGAAAGCCTACTTCAAGGTACCCATATCTGTCATAAAGACCAAAATATGTGTCCAAAATATATCCAATTGAACCTAAATATATGCCACACTCATAGAAAAAAAGGTTATGGATAGAACCAAAAATGTTTCTATGCTTGATTCATATATGGCACCTCGTTCTATAAAGAACCGATATTGGTTCCATATATAACCTTATATGGAACCCAAGGGTTCTATATGGAACACTACAAAAGGGTTCTAAATAGAACCTTTACGGGTGTCATATATGAAGCAAGCAATATAACCCTTTTTGGTTCTATCCAGAACATTTTTTTCTAAGAGTGCATATGAAAATATTACTGAGTGACCAATGTCAAGGCTGAGTGAGGCTATTTACACCGAAATTCAACTCCTGTTTTATATCCTATCCATAGACTATACTATGCATGACATAATGGGAGCCTATACCTAGTACATTAGTACAGAAAGGGAGATATAATGGTCTCTTCTCAAGACTGCTCTTTTCCCATCTCAAGGCTTTTGCGCCAGGCACCCCTAAAAAGAATCAGACAATTGGAAAAGTTAGGTCATTAAATCAAACAAGTACAGTTTTCTTGACGGTTATGTTCATGGGGAATAGTTAGTGTTGAATTGTCATCTACCAAATTCCTTTGTAGCGCTAATTGCAATGGATATCCTCACCGCTTTGGTGACAAGATGTGACAGTTATTTTGCGTCACCCTGTGCCTTATCCAATGCAAACAACATTCGCTGGCGTGTCACGGGCTTCACTCCAATCCCCCTTTACTTAGCAGTATGGGACTGGTTAAACCCTCCCTCTTTCCGGGTTCCGTCATCACCTTCTACGGCTGATCAGTGGAGCTAGTCTATCCTATAAGCGCGCTCACAGCCAACCTGCAAACATTCGCTGACACCTTCACATTTCAGAGCGGGAGGCAATGGCCACGAGGACCGACGCATCCTGGGAAGTTCTTTTTTATTAGGCTACATTTCATTCAAAAGGGAAAAGTGGTGCTTTGGAGCTAATCATCTCTATCAACTGTATAGGCTATAGATTACCTTGACAACCAGTCTCGGTGATTGACAGCAGGACCGATAAGCGAAGGTTTTCGATGCGCTTATTAGAAAAACTTTTAACCGAAGGTTCTTAATTGGTATTATCCGTCATGGTGATTTCGCTATTTAGGCTATTGCAATAATTATTCTTGAAAAATACACATCTTCACCTTGCTGCGGGTTTCCTTTTTATTGTCACTGCGGATTACAATATTCAATTGGATATAAAAGGCATCAACTTAATACACGACCTTCTCTGCGGACTGAGACAGTAGCTGTTTCTTACCTCTCTGTATCTCCAAGACAAGCGCATGTCGATGGCGCAAAGGGTAAGTCTTAGTACACTTGCAATGTGTATTTTCTGAGTTGATCAAACTGAACGCAATTTCCTTTTGGAATACCCATAAGTCTGGACCCTGTATTATATGCGTTGTTCTGTTTTCCATGCATGGAAAATTTGACTAGATTCATGTTCAGTGTCATTCTCATGCATAAAGGCTTGTGTTTGGAGGGGATGTCTGTAGCCTCTCTTATATCCGTGATAGAAGCATGTCAACAGACAGTCCTCGAGTTTCTCTCACTTAACTGTCTTTCTCCATCCAGTACGATGAGCTGGCCCACTATGGTGGTGGGATGGACGGAGTTGGACTCCCGGCGTCCATGTATGGAGACCCGCATGCTCCCCGGCCGCTTCCGCAAGTCCACCACCTGAACCACGGTCCGCCTCCACATCCAACCCAGCACTATGGAGCCCACGCACCCCACAACATCATGCCCAGCAGCATGGGCAGCGCTGTCAACGACGGACTAAAAAGAGACAAAGATCAAATCTATGGGTGTGCATCAGAATTGTCCCATGGCTTACACTGGGTTTTGTTATGTTTTTTATAGCCTACAAATTAAAGTTACAAGTGAAGTATTTAAAAGCATTTAGTCAGAAGTTAGAACCAAATCCTAACTTGACATTCGTGAGTAAATCGAATTTAATTCATTTTGCGCAAAAATTCTAGGCCTATTTTACGAGCATATCGCAACTCAAGATTCGGCCCTTACTCTGAGTGGAGACACTTCACTTTTATCAGTCATTGTAGGCTATACAGAAATATAAAACACGGATCAAGTACAATGCAGTCCTCTTAATAAAAAAAAAACATCTAATATTCCTGGAAAGAGGGAACACATATTCATGTTTTGTCTCCATCATGTTGCAGTCACCCGTTATTCCCTCTGCTAGCACTGGTGTTTGAGAAGTGTGAGTTGGCGACCTGCACACCGAGGGAGCCTGGAGTAGCGGGCGGCGATGTCTGCTCCTCAGACTCCTTCAACGAAGACATCGCTGTCTTTGCAAAACAGGTACTTGTGGTTTAAGCCACGTTTTAGGTCAGCAAAAATAGGGATACAGATATTATGGATGTGAAGGCTACTGTAAACGTTAAACATGCTTTCCTTAATTTATTTCATGTTTGATTGATGGGTGGATGGATTGATTGACTGATTGCTTGCCTGTTTGATTGATTAGTTGATTGATCGATTGATGGACTGACTGATTGATTGCTGTATGTAGACAATAGACTAATATTATTATTTTTCTTTATAGATACGTACAGAGAAACCGTTATTTTCATCGAATCCGGAGTTGGACAACTTGGTAAGCGAGTTAACCTGCATATCCACTGTTTACGCATCAATTGCGCAGCTGGATAAATAGTGTGATTATGAGCTTGTTTGAGTTCACTTTATTTGAACACAACACGAATATTCAGAACGTTCATTTGAAGGAGCAACAGGAAACGCAGACGAGTCATATAGTCAAAGCCCAATTCTGCTCCTCTGCAGTGGGAAGCTGCGGAGGTCCTTAACTAGGGCAACCCCAAAGCAGGGACTCTAGGAACCATTTCTGTGCTATTGAATCCATTTGAATGAGAAAATACATTGTTTTAAGTCATGAAGTATACTGTTACATATCTCTTCCTTTACTGTATAGGCCCGCAGTGTGCATTCATGCATTTATGGTGTTATTACATAGCATTGCTGTCTGATGAAAACCCCATCTCCGTTTTTGCCAATTTTCACAGCTTTTTACGTGTATTGAAAGCAGTAACTCCCATCAATGTACTCTGAACATATCATGACTCTAAGACCAAGAAAATATATTCAGAATAGCTTCTGAAGTGTTATAATATGCTCATTAATAGGAAAATATGGCGTTTTCTTTTTTGTTTCTTTCCTGAAAAGTTTCTGTTGATGAGATTTTCATCAGACAGCTACGATAGGCTAGTTACTATCCATTTGAGGTAAACATGTCAGCATGAATAAAGCTTAACTCTTATATTTTCCTTTTCCAGATGATCCAAGCTATACAAGTATTACGATTTCATCTTTTGGAATTAGAGAAGGTGAATTATGTTGTTTTATTGTAGACCTATATTTAATGCTTTACTTTGTGCTTTTTATGTTTTTATATATTTTTTCAAAACGTCCTACAATCACTGATAATCGCACAGTTGTACTCATAACTGCATATTTTACTCTTACACACTAAGCATATAGTTTACTAGGCTACTGCACCGATGTCCTGTATTAAGAGTCCTGCTAACACAAATGTTAATTGAATAGGTGCACGAGCTCTGCGACAACTTCTGCCATCGGTACATCAGTTGTTTGAAAGGCAAAATGCCCATAGACTTGGTCATAGACGACCGAGATGGCTGTAAATCCGACTTCGATGACGTGACAGGATCCTCCACAAATCTAGCAGATCACGTGAGTGGCTCGGCTTTGAAATTAGCCTACATTTACATTTACATTTTTAGTCATTTAGCAGACGCTCTTATCCAGAGCGACTTACAGGAGCAATTAGGGTTAAGTGCCTTGCTCAAGGGCACATCGACAGATTTTTCACCTAGTCGGCTCTGGGATTAGAACCAGCGACCTTTCGGTTACTGGCACAACGCTCTTACCCACTAAGCTACCTGCCGCCTACATATTGGTGCTAATTTTGACAATGGGTCCTAATAACATGGTGTTTGTGATGTACAAAAATATAATTTCAAGACATTTGCGTAATTGTGAGTCAGTTTAATAGATAACAAATGTAATCAACATATTTTTTTAAATAAACAGTACAATTTAATTTGCTGGTATTTCATGTTTTTTGTATTAATAACCTATCAACAAAAAGTAATCTAATGCACATTAGTGTGTGTGCAAAGCTGTGACAGTCAGTCCGTTAATTCATGTGTGTGTGTTCCAATTTTATTATTGTCCTTGTGGTGTGTATGGAAGTTTCATAGAGCTCTCATGTCTTTTTAAAAAGAGGAAGAATAAGAGAGGGAATTATTTATTTGATGGAGTTCTTTCACTTCTTTTGCTCTATTGTATAAATAATCTACTTTATCTGTTTATCAGAGAGGGAGATGGAGAGAATGACAGTTGTATGCACACATGACTGTAAGCCGCTTTGGATAAAAGCATCAGCTAAATGGCATTTGTTATATATTAGAAGAGAATGTGCTTATTAGAAATGTCCTAAATCAATTTTTTATTCTTTTCTATTCTTTTCAAAATTGAATTTTGTATGTTTTTTCTTTGAGGTAATAGATTAGTACAGCTGGATGTGTCCTGTTTGGTCTTTCCCGTCTCCTTCCCCTTCTGGTGTTTGATTTTACACTTGAATGCTAAACCAATCAGATTATTATTGTCAGTAAAGAGGGGGGTCTTTGTCAACCCATTTTCCCATAGGGTGCCCCCTACTCTGGCTCTTCCTCTTCCCAATACCCACTCCCCCTGTCACATGTCATTTCAGATGGCATGGTTCCTTAACTCTAGTACTGGAGCAATGGCAGGAACTTTGTGTTGGGGAGATTCCTCATATTAGATTATTGTCCTGTATAGTAGATATTTCGGAAGTAAGCCACAAAAATGGTATTCACTGTCCACATTCACTTCCATTTTTGGATGATATTGCATTTTGTTGATTCGGTGGTTGTAGACACAAACAAACAAGGTTCATTCATCTGACAAGATAGGACATTCTCCTGCTGGTCGTCCTAGGATGCAGTTCACCTTCGTAATATAATAATAATATATGCCATTTAGCAGATGCTTTTATTCCAAAGGGACTTACAGTCATGTGTGCATACATTTTACGTATGGTAGGCCCCGGGAATCAAACCTACAATCCTGGTGACGCAAGCACCATGCTCTACCAACTGAGCCATACAGGACCACTTCATTGTGTATGAGCTGTAGTTCTCTGGGTGTGAGGGCACATACAGAACACACGCAGAATGGTGTATGTGAATGCCAACCACTCTGAATGCTGGGCCTAGTTCATGTTTGAGAAGAACAACAGCTGTTTGTTTACCCTAGCTATGTGTTGGTGAAGGCAACATTAGCCTCCATTTCCAGTCTTTCACATTTGCGTTATTTCAGTAACAATTGTCTGACTTGTGAGACTAAAGGCAACTAGTGTACGTGTGAGAAGTTAATAAAAGTTTAGAACTATGTTCGCTCTACATATTATATTTCTACAGTGAAGACTAACCCTCACAATGATACAATGCGTGAGGGCAAGAAAGTATATTGGTCTGAGTATGCTTCTCTAAGTGACACACAAGTTATGCCTCTCTTTTGTCATCCCCTGCTCAAATGCAAATTTGAGCTCATATCCCTATTTGAGTCCACAACCCAGCCAATAGCCCAAGAGACAGCACCTTTATATCCATGTTTATATCACAAATTTACAGAATGATAAGACTAATTTGAGTTAAGGGACGACTGGCTTGAAAACTTGCCATTTGAATCAGGTTAACCAGCTAGCTGATACGGCCATTTTTACAATGATTGAAGATCCTATGATTTGAGAAATCGATCCAGATATCATAATTTCTTATTTATCTCATCAACTTATCTGCCTTTATGGATCTCAGTTTTTATGCTACATTTTAAAGAACGATAGACCACACTGTATCAGTAATTAATGTAATCTTAACAGCTGGAGTGTGAGTGAGTAAAGAACCCCCTTCATTTGCTTGATAAACGTGAAAACACATGGCACTTTGAATGGGGCCGCCACACAAACAGCTTTCTAATTACTGTGTGTTGGGATGGAAAAGGGGTCTGCTCGTCGAGCTCGTCGAGAGGCATCATTCACACTGCGCTGCCATTGTTGCCGTGATTATTCTTGTCATTGGCTGAGCTCTTCATCTGAGCGCCATCCGGCAAACAGCTGACGCCAGGAGGCTGAAGAGGTTGCTCTGCTGTTTGGCCCTTAGCTTAAGACTGTCTAAGTACCATGGTCCCTGCCCTTACATGGCCCAATAAATAGGGGTTCGGACAGATTCTGGGCTTCCGAATCAGTCAAGATATCGGACGACAGAGGATAGGGAGGAGTGTTGCTGGAGCTCTGTTGCGGATCGGTTTTGCTCTACAGTATTAGCTGGTTTAGCTGAATATCAGCTATATTGGGTTTTGTTTGTTATTTTTTGGGGGGCCATCTCAGTTTCAGGGAAAATGGTAACTTAGATTTTTGGGTTATCGATTGTTTGGAACTTGTTCTATTTTCTTATTGAGGTCATGGTCATATTGTTCAATATTGTGCGCTGTGGTATATCGGCTAATAATGAGGAGAGATGAGCGGTGCGTGTGTGTGTCTGGGAGTTACATTGATATTGAGTAATGGCACACTGTTCCACTGCTCTCTAATGTGATCTGTCTCTCTCTCTCCCTCCTCTCCTGGTGTGTGGCCGGGATGTGGGATATGTTGATGACCCGATGAACCTCTGTGGACCCCAGAACCCGACGTCCTGGAGAGACCTGGATGACGCCCACTCCACGCCCTCTGTGGGCACCCCGGGGCCCTCCAGCGGGGGCCACGTCTCCCAGAGTGGGGACAACAGCAGTGAACTCGGTAAGAGACCAACAGCTTCTCTTTACACTCAACTCCATATCAAAGGTTGACCTCAGTGCTGACCCCATACAAAGGCAATAGTATTTTCTTTGTAGGCTATAGGGCAAACTTAGTCTTTCCAGAGATCCTAATGATAAGCGGTTGTTGCTCTATCCTTATCATTCAGATAAAGTTGATAAGAGGTTGTTGTTGAATCAATAGCTATTTGATTGAGTTGTGATGGTGACTTTGTAGTTTTAGCACTTATCTAGGTCAGGTTATGGAAATAATTCAATAGTTTAATCTGGTCTTTGTTATATGATGGCTTGTCTGATGAGTGTCATTATTGCCAATTACTAGTTTTGCATGATTCTGCCCAGCATTGCTGTAGTGTAGCGTACTTGGGTGTAGCCTACTGTTAATTTGGCCTGGGATTGCTCAGTGGAAGCTATAAGGGTTTTATGACTTGTTTTTGTTTTTCTCTCCTATGGCCACAGTAAAAATAGAATAGACTTTAAAGCAACTTACCACCCTCTGCCCATCAGGCATTAATAGCCAGGGCATTGAGCTAAACAATGGGAGGATGCTTTGCAAGACAAGAGCAATTCAGAGGATGAAAGGACAGTCAGAAACACAGATTAAGTCTCTTCCTCCTCTGATTTAATAGTTTCTTCACTTATCCTAACTATCTGAAAACATGTGAAACGAATTATACTTAATATCCATGCCTGCATTATTTGTAATGTAATTGTATACTCTAACACTGAATATCTGACTTGTATGTCAGCAAATAGAGGGGAAGAGGATGGTGTGAATGGCTTTTTCCTTGGTTCCTCGGGAGGGCTTTTTTTAAAACAACAGCGGGGGGACACCCAAGGTCCATGCCTCCCTGCCCTTTTGACCTGGGTAGAGAATGCATATAGGACGGGGGAAGCACAATCCCCCCTGCCGTGGAGCTGGGAAGGACAGAGACACTTTATGTATGGATGAACAAAGAGGAGAAAAAGCCCCGGAATGATCAGAGGCCCAGAGTCACAGTAACTGATGGCAGGATCTGCTGCTGCCGTGCCTACCTGCTGCTCCTTGTGCCCCTCCTAGGGCACCTTTGCCCTTTTTTCATCCCTCGTTTCCATCCCTTGTTTTCATCCTCTTTTCTCATTCAAGAGGATGAGGAAAGCAAACACTTTTAACATAGGAAGGGAACTGGGGGCCAAAGCAGGGCCCTTACGTCAGTAGTGCAGGCCAGGCTAGGAGATTACCGATGCTCTTCAAAGCACCTGCTACTATGAGGGAGCTCCTATTGTCCTAATGGATATTAGTCATGGTTTTCTGAGCCAATGATAAAAGCTTTTAAAGGGTTAACCTACAATCTTAACTAATCGGGGAGCCTCGTGGTTGGTTGCCGTGTGGTTGCCGTGTGGTTGCCGTGTGGTATCAACCACAGGTATTTGATATGTGGTTGGTTGCTGGTGGTATGGTTATGGCTGTGTGGCTATGTTAGCCATGTGGCTGACCGCTAACCCATGGCTTATACAGTCTTTGGTTGTTTCCTTGTAAGCTGTGTGATATGCAGAGGGGCTTCTCTTTGATAACAACTCCCCCAGGGTGACTCTCTCAGATGGGGCACAGGGGCAGAGCTAAAGAGGCTGAGATATCCTAGGAATGTTTTTTGGGGGAGGGGCTTGGAATGTCCATCACAATGGCAAAAAGAAAAGGAAAGGAACCCAAGGGGAGCTAGCTACAGCAAAGCTCTTGTACAAGAGGGGAATGCAGAGAGGGAAGAAACAGGATGCAGTCAGTGCATCTTTTAGTCTTCTCCGGATTCCACTGAAGATGGAATCCAGTACTGCAATGACACTGCAGGCTAATGTCCCTATAGAAGCTGTCACAAAATGCTCTCACAAATAACGAGTGAGACATCTAACCCTTATCAATCACCACTCAAAATCAATAGGATATAGGCCTATGGGAGGCACAATTCTAGATCTATCCATGATTTGGGGAGAAAATCCAGCAATTATCAACATCTTTACACTATGGATTCCCCCTGTTTTGGCAAGCTGCCAGACAGCAGCTCCCATTTAGCAGCGTGCATCATGGGTAATAACAGGAGAGGCTGAGAAGTGTCACTGGTGATGGATCAGGTCCCGGTGAGCTCATTAGGCAAGCTGCACTGGGCTCGCATCACTGATGCAGGCCGGGATACAGCAATCAGTTCTGCTAGCTAGTAGCCCACCCTGCACTTTGTCTTATATGGACATGTCATCATGTGGATTCTCTTGCCTCTAGTTGTCCCAGTTTATACCTGACTGTAGGAACACTGGCCTTTGCTGTTGTTGATGAGAGAGAGGGAGGGAGAGAAAGAGAGAGAGGCTGAGACGTGGTGGGTGGGGGTGGAAGTGGAAGCCAGGCAAGGATGGCTCTGTTCTTCATATCTTAGGGTGCTGTTTTCCCTAAAGCGCCCGAGGCGATACTCCAGCCTTCCCTGCGGCAGCAGGCGGCCCCCCTCTATGTTACGCGTGTAGACACTGGGGCAGACAGGGAGGGAGCTGGGCAGGCAGGCAGGCGAAGGGGGCTAGGTCACGGGAGGAGCGTTCCATGGGTACAACTTTGAGAGTAGTGCACCATCACACTGGTTATATTGGCTGAGTTGCCAGGGAACAGTCAGAAACGATTAGCGTAGCGGAGGATCTGCCTGGAGGCCTTCCCTCTCTGGAGCAGGAAAAAACAGAGGGAGGGGGGCAGGGTGGGACGTTCCTTAGATATAATTAGGCTGTGCTAGTGAGTTCTGTCTGTCCTGTCTTTCTTTCTTGCTTGCTTTCTTTTTGTAATTTGCTTCAGGAACATAATTATTTAAAATGACCAATATTGATTTTGGTCATTTTGATCACCCGCTAAGCCCAAACGTTTAATCATTGATTGGTATAGTTTGTATTGATTATTTCACCACTCAAGGCATGTCTTGAGTGGTGTCTCTCCCAGCCTGAGAGACAGGATATTAACTGTCCAGTCCGAAATGACAGATCTCTTCAACACCATCCTTCAAGTACTCTGCACCCACAACAAACCTCATAATGTCCTTCAGTCATAAGACTGAAAGCTTAGAGAATAAAACTTTTATAACAATTTGTTATAACATCTACAGATAGAGAAGGTGGGGTATAGAGAACAAAGTGAAGGATCACATAGGAAAGAGACAGTGGCCAAGCAACCTATGCCCTGTCCAGTCCATAGACTACACCATCCGTCAGAACTCCCACCCCCCTCCCCTCCCTCCCCTCACCCCTTGTCCCACCCCACTCAGTCCAACTCATCCTTTTTAATGTCAATATTCATTAGCTGAAATATTTATGCATGAATATGGGCGCATATATAGAATCCCCTTTGATTGATGCATCCCCAAAAACAAAAAGACATGCCAGGGCGAATCTTAAGAAAAGTAGGGTTCCTGTCCCGCCCCAGGGGAGGAGTCTCTCAGATGCATTATTCACATGCCCTCCAGGCAGGCTTTCAAGGCATCTCTGCCCCGAAGGCAAGAAAAATAACTACCACTGTTAAAAGTAAATCATCTCTGCTGATGCACAATTAATGGCGGAGAGGGAGAAGGAGAGACATGGATAGAGTGCCCAGAGAGTGCTGTGATGGGGAGCAAGACTTGATCCGTGTGAAGGTTCCCGCTGAAATCAAACAAGGATGCCATGGTAATAATGCCAGGAAGCGAGAGAGCGGTGGCGTGTGTGTGTGTGTGTGTGTGTGTGTGTCGCAGTGTGAGTCAGACAATCCAACACAGACAGACTGGAAGGGGGTGTGGAGGGGGTGGGGTGGGGGTTCACTGAACACATGGGGGGGCTTGAGGGGAAATGACCGCAGCCCCCAGCCCCCCAACACCCCCCATCCATCCACCCACACATCCCTAGCCAAATGTTTGATATGTCATTGTCCTCTCATAGCTTAACCATGAGGTTACAACTGTTGTTTTTGTTATTGTTCATTTTTGTCATTTTTTATAACCAAATCATTAGTCTATATCAAACGGCGGAGTATATAAATAAATACGCTGCTGGCTGCGCATTGTGTCCGGCAACGGCTCTAACAGTCGTTATTCATGTCAAGTGTACAGCCCGGCTCCCGCAGTCATTACCTCATGTCAAACGTGCAGCTCAGATTGAATTAATAGCTTGGCTTTTTTTTCACTACAGTATACTGTATGAACCTCTCTTCATTATCCAGACACTGTAGCAGTGTGGATGAGGAGATGCAAATGTGAAAGTTGTGGAATATTGTGTTCTAATGCTGTTGCTGTGCCCTAGACCTCTGCTGCCCTTTTAGTGTGTGTTTGTGGCGAAGGGCGGTGATGTGTCGAAATTAAAGCCTTCTCTCTCCTAACGTATCCCTCCACCTCTCTTCTCTACTTTTTCTCTTATCGCAGGAGACGGCCTCGACAACAGCCTCGCGTCACCGGGCACAGGAGACGAGGACGACCAGGACAAGAAGAGGCAGAAGAAGAGGGGCATCTTCCCCAAAGTGGCCACCAATATCATGCGAGCGTGGCTCTTCCAGCACCTTACGGTAAGACAGCAGGCCGAACCTAGCACCAGCTCCAGACATTCTCCTTTAATGCAGTGGTTCTCAACCTTTTTTGGTTATTGTACCCCAATCACATCTTGCTCTGCCCAAAGTACACCATCAAGTGCAAGGTGCAACCGATCATCACTATTATCAATTTAGTCGTGAAGCCTATGTTTTGCACACATCTTATGGATCTTGTCAAGTATCCCCTGGGAGTAGGCCAAGTACCCCTAGGGGCAATAGTAATAACGGATGAGAACTGATGTCTTGCATCAAACACTCAATGCGAAACAACACAAGGGCATCGGCCTGTGGCTTTGTAGTCCTTCGCCGAGCAGTTTTCTCTCAGATGTTTTCTTATTAAGAACAGTCATTGAGACAAAGGCACAGAGAGCTGTATAAAAGACAAGTAGCGTATGTTGTCTAACTGTGGCCTCTCCATCATACAACACTTGTTAGGAATGATGCCACTTTACTCAGCGTCTGAACTACGTTTTAGAAAAACGGAATAGGCTACTTTCCCCAGAATGAAAGGACTATCTCACATTCCAACGACTTCCAACCAATCCTCAATGAGGAGAGTTTCACCTATTATCTACGGGCCCAAAAGACACCGTCACTGCCTCTTACTCCTCAGTTTTTCCTACTTTTCTCCTCTTCCCAATCTTAGATGTTTTCATAGCCCCTTATTTGTTTGCTGGGTGAAAAGCGGCCACACAGATGCTGTACAGGCAGCAGTGCCTTCCTCTAAAAACCCACCTTTAGATTCCCCAGTTTAAAAAGAAGAGGCAAAGAAGGGCTAATTGAATTATCCCCTCTCTGTTCCCCCTTTTCAGACTAATTGGTTAAGCACAAGTGTTTGTCGTGGCAGGATGTGCCTCGTGAACACTGTGTAAGGGCCCCTCAATGTCTTCTGAATGGTCCTATTGCAACACCCAGGCGATCAAGCATTCATCGGGCTGCGGAGGCTTTACCGTTGAGGCTGGCATCGGAGAAGGGACAGAGGGGGGCTTCTCGGGATAGTCTTAGCCTCTAGCTTTTGTGGCCCCTATTCTGAGGAGAAACAAGATCCTCCTCTACAAAGCTATAGAGAAAGCAGCTGTGGAAGGTTTACATTTAATTATAGGATTCCTTATTGGCCCATTAGCATGGTCATACAGTAACTGTTGGTTTCCATGACAGCCATGCTGTTTGAAGACCTCCATCTGCATGCTGATTGAGACAGATCTTTGTGAAGCTCTGTTCTAGACAATGTTAGTTACAACAAACATACATTGCTTTAAGAAATGCAGCTGTAAAAGGGTCCTCTTGTTCAACCATGAGACCCTTTCCTCCACTAGGAGATAAAAGGATTAAGTCCACAGCTCAATGACCGGTTGCCCCAGAGTGATCTGAGTAAAGTCGGTTGTACATTGGAGAGAGGCCCCAATGTGACAACAGTCTGTGGGACATTAGCAAAGTGTTTTTTTTTGGAAGACAGAGGGGTTCTGCTGGGTTGAGGGAGGAGCACTGAGCCATCCGTCACTAGACTGTCAGCCACCAAGCTGGGAGGTGACCATGACGATCACTTGTGGCAACAGTGGCCTTTGTCACCACCATTTCGGTTTCTGTTTGTGTGCGCTGTGTGGGTGTGCATGTGTGTGTGCATAAATGCTTGCATGTGTGTGCACGCTTGTGTGACTGAGTGTGTGTGTGTGTATGTGCCTGAATGGCCTGTTTAAAAATGAAGTGCTTGGAAGCTCATCCTTCACCCGGTGACCACAGGAGGTGGTTGCGGCCCTGACAACGCCAAAATGGGGACGCGCCCCCGACCCTGCACCCTGTACATGGGTCACCTCTGTCTGCCATCTGCCACCCTCCTCCCTCTGTCACACCGCCAGCGGAGAGGCAGGGACAGGGGGACAGGGGCCGGGCCCTTTTCAGGCCCTATTCAGGCCCTAACAAAGGCGGCAATTGTGTCCCTTTGTATCGTGTCTGATCATTTGTCAAATAATGTCAAATAATGTCAAACAATGCCACACGCTTTGAGCCCAAAGTGTTTGGGGCGGGGGCCAAGCAGTGGTCAGTCTTGGTTGTTCACTTCTGCTAATGCTAACTAGAGAGATAGACTAGTGTGTGTGTATATGTGCCAAGGATCACTGTGGATGGGAGTTGGTCACAGAGCGTGATTACATTTCCTGAGTGACTTCCCTTTAAAGGTAAAGACCCTGGTCTTATGTGCAGGGTGTTTCATTCTAGAAGTGATCATTCTAAATGAATGCAAGCTGGGTGTTCTTTTTTCTACTGAAGCGCAAACGTATCTTTCTGTCCTCTGTTTACCACAGCACCCCTATCCTTCAGAGGAACAGAAGAAGCAGCTAGCACAGGACACAGGCCTCACCATCCTGCAAGTCAACAACTGGTGAGTAGCTAACCCTCAAGTCCCCACACTAACCCTAACCCCTGCGCTTCCTTCTCGCCGCCTTTCTTCCTTTCCTTCTTGCCTCCTCCCAGCACTGGTGCATATGCTCCTATTAACATTTACACTACAGCCATGTTTTAGGAGAAGCAGAGACATTCTAAGCTCAGCTCTTTGGAAATGGAACTAAAATGGTGCTCTATCTATCTTCACTGTCTGGGGGACACTCTGAAACTTTAAAGGGGTGGTGTGTGTGTGTGTGTCCCTCCTCCCCACACAATCCGCCAGCCTAATTTTAAATGTATAACATGATGGATTAAAGTATATTTAAGGCCCATCAACCTTGCCCCTTTGTGGGCGGCATGTAGTTTAGTGTGTAAGAGCATTGTGCCAGTAACCGAAAGGTTGCTGGTTCTAATCCCCGAGCCAACTAGGTGAAAAATCTGTCGATGTGCCCTTAAGCAAGGCACTTAACCCTAATTGCTCATGTAAGTCGCTCTGGATAAGAGTGTCTGCTAAATGACTAAAATGTAAATGTAGATGGCTTAGCATATTTTGAGAAGGTGGGTGGGGTCCAATCAAACGATCACAGAGGAACAGATACAGGGGGATTTGGGATTTGTCTTCAAGGATACAGTTCTAGTGTGTCATCTAAAAGGCATAATTTTACATGGGGCTTACACAGGGTCAGGTTTGGATTAATTGAGATGACATTGGCTTCTCGCGATTAATCCTCCATCGTCCCAGAATCCATGGTAGGGTCTTCTTTAAGTGTATCAGGTTCTCAATAGACCTAATTACATAGACGTGCACCTCTAATCCCGAGGAGTTAAGAAGTCTAAGGGTTTTTCTCATGGATCTACTTCAATACACTTATCAAAGCAGGCGAATGCTTAGCTTACCTAGCTGTCCGTTCTGTTGGGTAGTGGTACGTCTCCGCCCAAAATTGGCAAAACGTTTAGTCTTATCACATCCCAAGGCTAAAGGGGCTAAACCCAAATCAATAGACTTGGTAAAATACTGTATGTGGCTTTCTCCTAATACCCTAGATCATGTCAATAAAAATAAAACAGATTATAAACCTAATCCCTGAGGACATGAAGGATTGGAATGTTAGTAAAACTGGCGTAGGAAATTGTCACATTCTGTTTGATTGCTGAATGCTTTGATTGTGTAGGATTATCTTAAGTAGACCAGGGAGATAAATGCAAAGGAGATCTTAAAGAAAGAAGCTTTATGTACTGTATATTCCATGTTTGCCAGGACAGTGATTTGAATTTTCTCTCCATTCTCTCTTCCCTTTCGCTCCAGGTTCATCAACGCCAGGAGGAGAATAGTACAGCCTATGATTGACCAGTCTAACAGAACAGGTAAGCCATAACTTCAATTGGTTCATTGATAATAATACGATGATACGATAATGTTGCGCTGTCATATATTTAATTGTACTATACTATATGATTTTTAAAATGTAGATAAGGATTTTTTGAATGCCACTTTTATTGTTATGGTGTATCTCTTCTGTTTTATGGCCTCTAAACATACTGACCCATAGAAATATAATTATAATGTAGTATTATATCTCTATACTGACCCATTTCTGGTTTATTTTACATCCACAGTGGGCCAGGGGACAGCATACAGCCCTGACGGTCAACCAATGGGAGGCTTTGTACTCGATGGACAGCAGCACATGGGAATTCGACCTGGCGGTAAGCAACCTTTATTCTCACCATGTTATTTGTACCTTTCTACCAATGTAGCCTAGAATCAGTTTTGGTTCTGTTTGTCTATTGATGGGTCAAATATTGCAGTTTTATATGAACCAGTATATATTTCATCATGTAATTGGTTCCGCTCGCTGTCGCTCATTCTGCAGGACCAATGGGTGGCATGGGAATGAATATGGGCATGGATGGACAGTGGCACTACATGTAAACCCTCTCCAACTGAGGTTAGCCTGAAGAAGATGGTGAAGTAAGCACTGCCTTAATCTCTCTCCCCTGCTACATTTGTCACCCACAAGCCCCCCTCTGTCGTTTCTCTATTCCTCTCCATCACTCCCTCTCTCTTTCTCAATATTTCTCCCTCTCTCCCTCCTCTCCTCTCCTCCTCACCCCTCGCTTCAATAGTTCCCCTATCCCTCTCCGTCACCCCATCTATTTTCATTTTTTTCTTGCTCTCTCCCTCCTCTCCTCTCCTTCTCACCCCCTTCCTCAATCGTTCCTCGATCCTTCTCCATCACTCCATCTCTCTCTCTTTCTCCATTTTTCTCCCCTCTCCATCCTCCTCTCATCTCCTTCTCTGGGCCCAATCTGATTAAGAGTGTGGGGTTCTCGACTCCCTCTGTCCCCCTCCAGCCCTATCAGCTCTCTAGCCCTGCTGACAGTTCACAAATCAAGACGTATCGCCTGCCGGAGGCACTGGAGCTCACCGTATTTTATTTAACACCCACACTCCACTGCTCAATGAGCCACACTATAATGACACTTACCTTGATTAATTGAGCTCTTTATATGTAAATAGGGAGCTCCACGTTTGCCTCACTTTTCACTGGGTGCCAATTCTGCCAACACAGCCCCTTCCCTTCCCGATAATCCCCAGATTTAGCTAATGAAGTCCAAAGAGCATGATGGTGATTGCAGCGACGGCGCATCGCCTACATTTTAAATACAGCCCACATAGACATCTTATGTACTCAAGCTGAATAAATGCTGGCGATATAAATTTGAGACTATTTCATCCAATCATTTCTCATTGAATGATCATTGACCGGTTACTGTAATGGCGTAATACAGGAGGCTGTTCTCCTCCCCTAATTTAATCTGTGGCGAGACCATATGCTGATTGTGATGGCAGTAAATTTACCCAAGGCTCCATGTGGGGTTGTTTTGCAGTAATATGTGGTTATCCCATGCATGATGGAGTCAGAGCCATAACAGTTATCTAGGGATCCCTTAAGAATTACACCACTGAACCAGCACTGTCCCAATGTATGAATATGCTGTAAGGCCTATATATGTCTCTGTCATGTGTGGCTTTGTCTTTAACTTATAAGATGTAGGTTCCATATTTGGAGACTGTCAGAGACTGACCCAGGCTTCTTCTTTGTGTGACAGGCCTCCATGGTTTGCTCAGGGAAAATTCCATCCTGCCGAGTGGTCCAATGAGAGCGTGACTCTGCCCCAGTCACACCTGTACCCATCATCAGACCACACCCACCTCACCACCCCACTGGAGCACAGAGGACCACACCTACCCTGGGACAACCCACACCTGTACAGACCGCGCCCACATTGACCTTTACTAACTAACCCCATGCCTGGAGGACCCCGCCCACATTGACCTTTACTAACTAACCCCATGCCTGGAGGACCCCGCCCACATTGACCTTTACTAACCCCATGCCTGGAGGAAGACCAGGATCTAGGAATAAACATCAACATTTACAGACTACAACAATCTTCCAAAACAAAAAAAGACTTCTGAATGAACAACAGAAGCTAAAATGACCTCAACAACATTTTGACACATTTTAGTTTTCTTTTTTAAATTATTTATTTATTTTTCTACAATGGTGGACCATCGGGACAAGAACTTTTAAGTCTTTGCCTGAGATATATTGTCACAATTGTACATACACACAGCCTGCACACACACACACACACACACACACACACACACACTAACACATATTCTCACACACACACACACACTTCATCCTATGAACACACCATGTGAAAACAACCACTGTGGAATATCTAAAAGGATGATGAAGACTAAGACTTTTAATAACTGTTGTGGTGTATAGACTTGTGCTTTTTCATTTGAGTGTTCTGTCCATGTTTGTGCTTTGTGATCACTAGTTTATAGAGTGAGAGTTTATCACTGATCCCACCTTTATGTGCTGTGGAAGAGAGAGGGGTTGACTCGGAGTCTGCAGCTCCATCCAGCTCCCAACAAAAAACCAAGCCCTCTTTTTATAAGACTGACTCCATACTGGTAAGGTAGATCCTGGACTGACTTCAATTTAGATCATATTCAAATAGTTTTATAGCACACAGGAAGAAGGGAAAGGTTTCAACACTAAAAATACAAATAAAAACTCATTTTAAAACTTGACCTCTTTTTTCAGCACATATTCCCTTTCATCTCAGAAATAAATAACCTTTTGGGAAGAAAAAGAAGAGCTATAGCTTGAGTTAACAATATTTTGTACAAAATATAATACGATATTGTGACATAATTAATTTGGATAACATTAAGAAGTTGATGCATTTTTTGGTTTGCTGTTTGGTCGTTATTTGCACATTTGCTATCTGTATCTATGGTAAACATTTATGATATACCGCATAACTTTGTAAATTAAAAAGGTTTTCGTAATAACACACAACAATTCGTTTTCACACGAGGTCACGTTACAGTTTTGGTCGATATGGGACGAAATTGCTGTCGCTGTTTTCTTATTCGATTGAGGCTGACAGGAATGATGGATGACCTAGGACTACCGGTATTCGAAATACAGGGAGATAAGCTGAATACCAAAACCACACTCTTTTGTTTTTATCAAGACACATTTTAAAAAGAGCAGTAGGATTATGCAATAAAAAGAAGTGGAAGCCTCGAGAAAAATGTCATATTTTCAAATCATTTCGTATGATATCACTCCCCCGACAAAAAGGAAAAAATATATTTGAAGATGGGTCTTGTAGCCTAGCCTAAAAAAAACGTCGATAGAGATAAATTCGTTGGTATATGGTTTTATTATGAGACTTTTTGATATTGCTGTATTTTTCAAGGATGTATTCGTTTGTCTAGTTTGCTGTCTGTATTGCAGGGTGTGAGTTGGACTGAGAAAAAAAATGCTGTGGGCAACTTGGAGGATCATTTATCAATGTCAGCCATGAACGATATTGTGTGCTGTATTGATGAGAAGAATTACATTAGTGCGAGATGAGAGACTCATGGGCCAATGGTAAATGTGCAATTATGAGTTAGGCATACGAGTTAGGCCTATTCATTTTTATTCATCAAAGCATTTTAAGTTGGAAAAATTGTCTATTGATAGGCTATGACTTATAAACATTAGGCTATACGTTTTATATATTATTATTATTATATTATTACTAGACATATTATTATTGTTATTATTATTATTATTATTATTGGTATGTTATTTAAGCCGCATCTAATTATTTTTGTTATTTTGATACTTATTATAGGCCTAATCAATGTTATGCCTTTTGAAATAGTTACTATTATTGACGTGTCCTATTTTTATCTCACACCAAATAGCAATTACACCTATTATTCCACCGTCAGTGAACATTTTACATAACTCATCAAAAGATACCATTGGTTTTGTGAGATTCAATTTAAGCTTTCATTTAAGAGCTTTTTACGTGTTAAAATCACACTTTTTCCATCCTCTACCTCTGATAACTCAATACGAATATGAACAAATATATTGTTTTAGCGACGCTAAATCTTCACTACTGTGAAAATATTTTCCTCACGAATTGTTCACTAATTAAATACAACGTAGGGAAATTGTTTTCTCGAAATAATGTTGATGTCACATGCTTGAACCTGCATCGTGATTTGTGCACGGCATGGATCGGTTAGTGGAAAGGATTTGAGTGTCAAATATCAAAACTGATAGACTAGCCAAAAGAGCAGCTTGTAAGCCTAATTCCAACCTTATGGATAATATTTATTGTTTTTAATTTATAGGCCATGTCAATTAACATGTTAACGGAAAATCCCACCGGAAAACTATATTTTGGTATTTGTTTCATTAGTCCATTGTTGATATAGGCCAATATATATATGTCAGCAATCAAGTTTTCAAGATATCTAACTTTCAAAATATATAAATGCAGCTGGTATGATGCATTTCAGACCAATGGCCAATCAGACTCCATGATACTGAAATGTCTTTATTCGTTAGCCTATGTAATTCATAATTTGATAGCTGTAAATTAATTTGATATTGGTGTAAGAAAATTATACATTTTACAAGAAAGGTTCATGCATTGCTTCCGTTATCCTCGTGTTATTTAAATTAAAATAAACGAAATCTGCTTCTGCAAACAAACAAAAGGTTTGGACGGTAGAATTTTCCAAGACACTCATTATTTAAATTGGAGATGATGATGATTTCAAAGCCACAACAGAAAAATATAGAAATATAATTTACAGTCTGCGTACAAGCTCAAATCGTTGTGATAAATTATCTGCATAGGTCTAGATACCCATTGCATTTTCCAGATCTAGGCAACTTAATACACAAAAACAAAGAGCATACTAAAACGCATGCAGCCTTTGCCGACTGTAGTTAAGATAAATGCGTTTTGAAGGCTGCCGGAAACAAGCGCCTATTCACATGAAATATGGGTCATCCCTCCCGCAGAAAGTAACATCACGTGGGAGAGAACTCTTATTTTCAGAACATATCCATTCACTGGCGCGCGGAATACTGCCAATACTCTACAACCGTAATAAGTGAGTAATGAATGAATTAGTCCAGTTAACTTATACCATATAGATAGGCCTACATGAACTAACATAAACGAGAAGATGCATGGTTAGTTAGGAAAACAGTCACTCATAAAATGAATGCATGTTTATGTCGGTGCATGCATTGTGTTTTCTCCAACAAGTTTGCATGTGCAGATCAACAATGAACATTGCAAACTGGGTGCATGCTCTGTTCAATTATGTTCTGCCAACACGTTGCAATGCAACGCAACCAACTGCACACTATAGCCATGATCTTATGGTCAGATAAATATATTATAGAGTCTGCATGTGCCCTCTGAAATTGCTCTAACTTTCCCTCCTTAAAACATTTATTCCATAACACCAAATATATTTTCTAATCTGAGGTTCTCTCTTTCCCTCTATCACCCTTTTTGCCCAACACACACACACACACACACACACACACACACACACACACACACACACACACACACACACACACACACACACACACACACACACACACACACACACACACACACACACTCACTCCTTCCCCTCACCGCTCTCTCTCTCTCTCTTTCTCTCTCTTTCTCCTCAATCAAGGAATGGAGGGATCGTCAGAGGGTGATGCGGGTGGTTTTATTTCCCCCTCTGGTCACAAAATCGTAGCCTACTCACCCAGCTCATCTTCTCAATCATGTCTTCATCCTGTCAAGGCAGCAGGCCAGGCACCCATGTCCCAGATACAGGCTGACGTCACCCAGATCAGGCTAGGGAGGTCTCCAGGCTCAGGCCCTATACTGGTAATCATATAGCCTGGAAGATGCTGTGGGAATCTAGCCTCTGGTGGGAAATGTGGTTTTATCCACAGGGGGTCAACAAGTTAACTGCGGTGACATGTAGGCTATAGAAAACAGTGCTTATAGGTTACGTTAGGGTTAGGGGCTATATATTTTTTTTTGCTTTGTTACCAAAAAGTTGAAGGTTTTGTTTTTAAGTTGGTAACACTGTCATCTACCCAGAGTGGCACATGAATATATCCTAAAAATAGGTATATTTTAATGGTAAGATATTTCAATAGATGAGAGTATTTATTGATGATTAATTGATTGATGTATTGATTTGAACAGTAATGACAACATTCACCCCTAATCATTTCATGGACTACTGGGCTGCTGTAATAGGCCTCTTCTTAATACAAGCGTAGAATTACTCCGCACCCCCTTGATCATTTCATCCACCATCTGATCCCAGGTAAGCTAATCTGAGTAATATCTACAGACATGCCATGACAAAACCCCTGAAGCGGCCTTGTCAAACACAATCTCATATGTGTATATCTCCCCTCTCGGAATCGGCAAAAAGTTCCTTTGAGACTCCCAGCAACATGGATAGATGTTTATCCCCTGGTTCAATTCCCTGTCTGGGAGCGATTGGTGTTTAAATTTGGGATTTTTTGGGATAAGGAAAATCAGTTGGGGCAGCTTGGCGGCAGGAGTCCTCTCGTCAATTTTATTTACAGCAATACATGCCAGAGGTCAGGGGTCAAAGTTGAGAGAGGGGCCAGCAAGGCATAAATAGTGCGGTTTGGATGGGATTCTTATAGGAGGGCGGATAGTGATGTTTGATGTGTCAGGTCTTCTAAACATCTCTCTGGTATCAACCTTGACATGCCTCATGGCGCTAAGTAGGGAGATACTATGACATCATTCTGTATCAAATGGTGACCTCATGTCTTGAATGAAACTCTTCCCCTTCAGGAAGAAAGGCAGCTTATAGGTGGGTTTTGG